TTGAGTAAATGAGGAATTTATTGTTACAAATAAAACAAGGCTGGAATTTGATGGTCCCTGGCAAAGCTGGTCAAGGTTCTTCCCCCAGAGGGTGGTTGGGCACTGACCAGGCTCCTCAGGGCAGTGGGCACAGCCCCAAGGCTGCCAGAGCTCCAGGAGGGTTTGGACAGCACTCTGAGGGGCAGGGTGAGGTTGTTGGAGTGTCTATGGACTGGATGCTCCTTGGGTGTCCCTTCCAGCTCAGGACATTCCATGGCTGTATGACCCATGTAGCTGTCACTTGTCCCCGGGGTCCTCTGCCCTGGAGCACCTTTGGGGTGTCACCAACCGCTCTCACCGGCCCCTCTCTCTTCTTCTCTCCCACCCTGTGTCCACAGGACCACATCCCAGTGCCCTACCAGCCGGATTCCAGCAGCAACCCCTCCTCCACCACGTCCTCCACGCCCTCCTCGCCGGCGCCGCCGCTGCCGCCCAGCGCGACACCCCCGTCCCCCCTGCACCCCTCCCCGCAGTGCCCGCGCCAGCAGAAGCAGTTCAACCTGCCAGGTACCTCCACGTCCGCCTGGGCAGAGGGGCTCGTGCCCCCAGGGGGTCCTCAGGGTGAGGAGCTGCTCCCTCTGGGCCTGTGTCGGGGTAGGGAAAAGGCGGAAGCGGCGATGAGCGGCAAGGATGAGTTTAGGGGAATTCAGGTGAGGAGTCTCCATCAAAGCTCTGGCTGGAAGAAGGGTGAGAGCCCAAGGTTTGGTTCAGTTGGGTCTTGGAAACCTCCCAAGGATGGAGCCAGCACAACCTGCTGCTCTTGAGGCTACGAAATCCTTCCCAGGCTTGGGTTCTCCAGGGCTCGTTGACTCAACTGTGAACGGAAATCAAGGTCTTCCCCCCTCTCCAGGGGCTCTTTGGGTTGACTTCTCTGTGTCTTTGGGGTGATGGGCCCCCAAAATCTTGTTGGCAGCACATGTGGGGTGATAGTGGAGGGGAGGTGATGCTGGGGGTGTCTGACATCCTTGTCCCATCGAGGCTTGTCTGGGTACCTGGGACCCATCTGCTCCTGGAGAAGGGACAGCCAAGGATCAGGCTCTTCAGGGGTGGTGGGAGGGGCAGGTGGGTCCTGGTGGCTGCAGGACACAGGAGTTACAACATTAAATGACCAAAAAATAGCTCCTCCTGGGCTGAGGGAGTCTCAAAGCCTGTCCACCTTTGGGATGGCCTCGGGGCAGTGCTGCTGCTCCGGGGAAAGTCCCTTCCTGGAGGGGAGCGGCTCAGCATCACTCCTGGCGGTGTGGAGGGGCTCAGCTGTCCTCAGCCACCCACCTGCCTCTCCAGCCGCTCCCAAAAAAGTCCTGGAGAGTGGAGAGGAGGGGGAGCCCTGGCCCTGACCCATCCCTGAGGTGCTGAAGCACCCACAGCTGCCCTGGGGCTGGTGGCCCCTCTGTGCTCCGTGACCTCAGGCCTCTTTGCTGGAGCAGAAGTTTGGGGTCCCTCCTGCACCCCCAAACCAGCACTTAATGAACTGGTCCAGTGGGAAGAGGGATCAGGAGAATTCCTCCAGAGGAACCAGGTGGCATCTTCCTGCTCTGCTGGTCCTGCTGCACCCTGGTGATGCCACCCTTCCCTCCTGACAAGCCCTGAGCTCGAGATGAGGAGGAGGGAGAAGAGGAGGAGGAAGTTGACTGGCAGAATTCATCCCACAACAAAACAAACCTTTCCAAAAGCCTGGAAAAACCCCAACGAGCAAGCAGCAGGTCCTGGTGTGCCCGGAGAGGCTGCAGCCACGCCCGAGGCTCCCTCACTGGAGTGCCCAGGACTCGAGTGGGGGGCTGGAGGGGCCTGAGGAGGACAGGGGAGGAGCTGGGAGGAAGCTCTGAACACCCCAACCCTTGAGGCCGGGATTTTGACAGCAAAGCTCTGGAGTGTCCACGTTCTGGGAGGACAATCCACAGTGCCAGTGAACTCCTGAGTGGGTTTCCATCCTGGTACAACCCCAGTGTGTGGTGGTCCAGCCGGAGCTGAAGCATCCTGAGGTCTCCACAGTGGGATAATGGGGATCAGAGTGATCAACATCCCCAATCCACCTGCTGGGCCAGCCCTGGAACCTCCCTGGGCAGGGAAGAGGGGCCTGAATTTGGTGACGCCATCATGTGTCACTTCTGGAGCAGAGACCTCCCCGAGGGTCTTTTTGAGACATTATTTCATGTTGTTTAAAGCAGAAACAACAGAATTAACCCCCAGAAATGGCCACCTTATGGGGACCTGGCAGGTTTTCCTGGCCAGCAGGGATGGAGCGGGGCAGGATCAGACCCCGGCAGCTCTGGGGGTGCTTGTTCCCTGCTTTCATTCCCTGCTTTCATTCCCTGTTTTCATTCCCTGCTTTCATTCCCTGCTCCAAATGGGAGCTGGACCGACACAAAGCAGAGCTCGCTGTGCTTTCATGAAGTTCTCTGTGGTTCATCCCATCAAGATGGTCATCCCGGGGATTAGGATTTGAGCTCGGAAATGGTGACACGGGGACCTTTTCCTGCCGGAATTACCTCCGAGGCTCCTTTGATCTCGGCTCAGGTCCTGCTGCAGAGCTGAGGTCGGGCTCCAGGGTCTCAGAGCTGGAGAGGGGAAGGTGAGGGTTGGTCCTTGGGGTCTTGGAGCTTAAGGAAAAAGTGGTTTTTGAGCCGGTGCCAACCTCTGGAGGCCTCGGCAGCTCTGACTTGCTTCGTGCCCCTGCACACAGGAGCTGAACCAGCCCTTGGATTTTGCCCACTGGAGATGGGGAGCCAGTGGAGGGTCCCACCACCCAGAGCCCTTCTGCAACACTGGTTTGGGCAGCAGCCCCCACAACTCCTTTCAGTGCACCAGGAGCTTGACAGGGAGCCCAGGAAGGACACAGCGCCAAAGATGGAAAAAAAGGGCTGAATTGGGCCAAAATGGGTGGCAAAATCCATCTCTTGGTGTCTCCGTGATGCCAAACGACCCCCAAAGACTGGCAGAGGGCCAGCACTCAAACCCCACGGCCTTTTCCTGGCAACCAGGCGTCCAAATCCCACCAGTGACTTCACAGATGACATGAACACTCTCCAGAGGGTGTAGAAGAGCAGCTAATGGGGGCAAAAATCAAATTATAATCCAGCCAGAGGTCTTAATTTTTGGCCTGGGCACCCAGCAGGGGTGGCTTCCTCTGGAGAGGTGAGGTTGGGAGAGGTTGGATCACACAGGTGGGGGTCACACAACAACCCCCCCTGGGGTTGAGGCTTCAGGGAGCAGGACTGGATGTAGTTTGGAGCCTCTCCAGCTCTAGAGATGGATATTTAACCCTCCCTTCTCTCTTTTCCAGCTTCCCATTACTACAAGTACAAGCAGCAGTTCATTTTCCCAGGTGAGGTTCCCTGGATAACGTGGGGTGCTGGGATCTCCCCTGGAGGGGTGGGTGTGTGGCTGGCCCTCCTAAATCCCTGGATTTGTGCCAGGGAGGTTGTGCTGGGCTGGGATTTGCCCCCCCAACAGCAGTATATGGATGCAGGGCCGTGCAGTGGGAGGGTGCTGCGGGGTTGGGTGGCCCTGAGTGACCCCCAGCCCCGGGTCGGGGTGTCACTAAAGCTGACCTGGGGGCGAAGGGAGGTTTTAAGCGGGGTTTAGTCACCCTGGGTGCCCCCCAGACCTCTCTCACTCCGCTCTCCTCTCTCCAGATGTGGTGCCTGAGACTCCAACCCGAGCCCCACAGGTTGTCCTCCACCCCGTCACCTCCAACACCATGTGAGTGGCTTCTCCTTCCCGTTCCCAAGCGGTGCCTCCTCCTGCACCCCTGTCGCTGTTTGGGTTTGACTTCCCACCAAGTCCCCGAACCACACTGAGCGTTCCCCCCCCCTTATTAAAGGAGAGGGAAAAAGGGAAAAAAAAACCCCAAAGGACCCGAAATAAACCGAACTAAAGCAATAAATATATATGTTTACACATACATGCAATTACAGAACTATATACACATAAGAAAAGAGAACCCCAACACCCCAAAACTAAAACAGAAAAGCAGATATATGCAGATGTACACAGCTAATGGAGAGCTAGCAAACAAAAGAATCTTAATACTTTCCTTAAGAAAGAAGAACTGCTCTTGAGTTGGCAAAACAACAGGCCTGACCAGGCCTGACCAGGCCTCGCAGGCCTGACTAAGCCTCACCCCCACATGAGCAAGACCGGCCACAGGGACCTGCTGTCTGCAAGTCAAATGGAAGAGAAAAGGGAAGACCCTCCTCTCTCCTCCTTATTTATACTCTTGCTTGCATAAAAAATAGGATGGAACACCGGGACATGGCCACTTCCCTTGTTTCGACCTGGTTACAAAGTGTAGTCGGTTGTAGTTGGCCTCTCGCCAAACCCCAACAGACCACAGCGAAAAAAAACCCTCCAAAGGAAAACAAATGGAATAGCAAAAGCTATATTAAAAAAAAATATATTTTACATATATTACAGATATATACAATTAAAATACTATGTGCATATAACCACAGAAACCCCAAACGGCTCCCAGAAATGGGGAAGGGGAAGGGAAAAAGGAAAAAAGGGACAGAAAGGGACAAAACCACAAAACAGATATGCACAATCAACAACTCAGGAATTAGCAGAATAAAGAATTAGCAAAAGAATATCTTACTACTTTCCTTGGGACAGCAGAATCGCGCTGAACGACTGCCGGCACCCTCCACCTCCCAAGGTCTACAAGGCCTCACTAGGCCTCACTAGGCCTCACTAGGCCTCACTAGGCCTCACTCCCCCAACACAATGAGAACTGACAACAGGGAACCTGCACCTTCAGAACCACCGGAAGGGAAGAGAGTGAAGACTTCTCTTCCCTTCTTCTTTATACCCTGGCTTAGGTAAAAATCATAGGCAATACCGGGACATGGCCACTTCCCTGGTTACAAACTGGTCACCAAGGAAGGCCTAGACTAAAACTACCACACCAAGGAAGGCCTATATCAAACCATCACAACCCCACATCCTCCAGGCACCCCGGGGTGCCCCCCTGGCTTCGCTGGGGCTCAGGGAGGCCTTTGGGGTGGGTGTTGCTGCTGCCCTGACCCAGCTCACAGCTCTGGGTTGTGTCTTGGTGAGGAGAAGAGTTGAGAGAAGGTTCATTTATAACCCACAGAAACTAGAAAAAAAATGGCTTTCAATCCACGAAGCCAAAGCCCAAGTGATTAATTAAATGATAATAAAATTATGAGCAGATAACCAGGGTCTTTGAGACAGTTTTAGTAAAGGCAGTTCTTGCAGCCCCACCTCCAATATTTTCGAGTCCCATAAGTTTTGCACTTAAATGAACTGTGAAATGCAGTGTCTGATCAACCTTAGGACTGTCTCTTCCCAGCAGGTTGAGTCCTAATCCAGCATTCCCTGAAGTCCTTCCACTGCAGGGTCACCTGCTGAGCCTTTTGCTAAATGCCATTTTGGGAGGATTTGACAAGGCAGGAGTTTAACAGACAGAGATCTGACTCCAGGGGGATCTCCCCTCGGGAGAGGGGATGGGAGGGACAGGGATGGAGCCACTGTCCCTCGGGAAATTATTGGAAGAGTGGTGAAGTCGAAGCCCTGAAGTTTTTTTTTGCCTAAAGCAGGGTGGCAGGTGTAGGGCTGGCAGGATTTGGAGTGGAAATAACTTTTAATATGTGAAATCTCTGATTCCTCTCTCCCTTCTCCCACTGAAAACAATCCATGGGAGTCACTGAGGTTCCCCTGGGCTTGGCTGAGTTAAACAGCAGCCTCTGCTCTGGATACTCAGGATACTCAGGAGACAGGAATTCGTGCCCTGGATGGGGATCAGGCAGGAGGAGCTGCTGCCCCTGCAAACCACCTGTCCATCCTGATGCTCTGCAGCCACCCTGGGCTTTTCCTGCTGCCCTAAAAATCAGGATTGGCTCCTTTTGTACAGGCAGCTGGATTCCCCTGGGATTTATGGCTCTTTAGAGGCCATGGAATGGGATAGGGCTCACAGGACCACTGAGCCTGAGTGGCTTGGGGAGTGTTGTGCTCTGCTGTCTCTGGGAAAGGACGTTTTTATTTATGTTATGGATAATAATAATTATTATTAATATATTTATATGATGCTTGAAAGCACCTGAGCTGCTCCAGCCAATTCCCTAACTCAGAACATCCCTAATTCCCTGTTAAGTGTTGGATGCTGCAAGACCCTGGTGGTGGGAGGTGCTGAGTAAACAGAGAAGGCAAAAAGCAGCTCCTGGCACAGGGAGCTGGAAAACTCATCAAATTTGGGTGCTTTTACTGCAGGGAGGGTCTTTGAAACTTCCACTTCTCCAAAATAATTGAAAAAACTTGTTTTCTTCTCTCCTGGCCGCAAATCAGTGTTGTTTTTGGAATTCTGACCTTGGAAACCCCTAAAAATGCCATGAGGGTGTCAATCTGTCCCCAGGGTTGGCCAGGGGTGACACCTCCCAGGGCACAGGGACATGGAGCCTCCTCCCCTTGGGAGATGGGATGGAGACCTGTGTGTGCTCCCACATCACCAAACACACCCTGGAATGTCACACATCCGACCTGAATGGATCATTTTAATCATCCCTGCTCCCTCCCCCTCTCCCATGGGAGCACCCAGGGATGGAGGGTGGGAAGGGGCTGCTGTCCCAAATCAACAGTGAACCTGACTCTTCTCCCCTCTGCTCCCTGGAATCCTGGTGCAGGGATCAGGCCTCCATGCCCACACACCTTCCCAACCTCCCCGTGGTTTTTACCTGTTTTTTTTTACCTCAGTAATTCTTTCAACAGCCTGGAAGGAAACCCATTGCTTCAAATTGAAGTGGAGCCCACCTCGGAGGTGAGACGCTCGCTCCTGTGCTTAATGGAGCTTTATTTGATCTCCATCTTGGGGCACATTTTGCAGGAAGGGGAGAAGTCGAGCAGCTGTGCAGGGAAATTGCTGATAATTGAATTAAAGGCCAGGCATCCGTGTCCCCACCCCGTGCAGAGGGACCCTCACGGGCTCTGTGGGCGCCTTCAAAGTTTATCGTTCACTGGGGGCTTTTTAAGACGCATTAAAAACGTGGTGGAGGGGAGGGAGGGAGGGTGAGGGTGAGGATGGAGCTTTTAAAGGCTGTTGGAAATCCTGCAGAAAGCATAAACATGAAGGGAAAAGTCAGAGCCATTCTGGGGTGGGAGCAGTGGCACAGCTGGGCCAGGGTGGGAGGAAACTCAGCTTCCAGAGGAATTAATTCAATGCTCTGATGTGGCACAACCTCATGTTTAACCCGGGGGTAAATAAATGCCTTCCTGCAAACCGCAGGGACGTGGTGGAGTCACCACCCCTGGGGGGGTATAACAGACCTTGGGGACACGGCTTAGTGGTGGCCTTGGCACTGCTGGGTGAATGGTTGCACTTGATGGTCTCAGAGGGCTTTTCCAGCCTGAAGGATTGTGTGATTCCCTGAAAATCTGGGATTCTGCTGGCTTTGCATAGAAGGCAGTTGGCTTTGGAAGCAAAGGGAGCCTGGCTCCTCTGGGGCTGAGCGAGCGGTAGGTGGGTCAGTGGGGTTTGATCCGGGTGTTATTCCCCATCCACAGTTTCCCCACACTCACCACCCTTTCCCACCCCCCCCTTCCAGAACGAGGAAGGCCCCGAGGAGGCGCAGGAATCCGAGGACGACTTCGAGGAGATGAACCTGTCGCTCCTCTCCGCCCGCAACTTCCCGCGCAAGGCCAGCCAGACCAGCATCTTCCTGCAGGAGTGGGAC